TTCCACAAATAATTCAAGACCAAAATTAGCCAAATTGGTCCAGCCGTTCTCGAGTTTTAGCGAGACTAACGAACAGCAATTCATTTTTATAATATATATAGATATATAGATAGATAGAGTTCGAATACTTTGCGGTAGAAGTGTTCATCTTTTCAGTTCGTCGTAGTTTGTCTTTCTTTAAGCCCTGTAATTAATGTATGTAGATGAGTGAGCCTGCTCATAATATAATCGCTAGAGTGACTGATGGTTAACAACTTAAACTAGTCTGAAAGTATTGTTTGGTAACGACTCACTTGTTGTTGCCATTTAAAGTTACCGTAACCTATAGTCACCTCAACGTATACGTTCGCTCACCCTGAGTCAGAAAGGAATTTGTTGTGGCAAATTGATAATATTCTAGTATTTGACATTCTAACCTTCAAGCCCAAACACATTATTGTTTTGCAGTTGAAATAGGCAGAATGATGCCATACTGCTATTTCAGAATACATCCTCGTTAAAGACGCTTTCTTCATAAAGATCATCTAAAAAACCAGTCACTATGAAATTTAAATACCTTGTGACATTTCTAATAAGAACATTTTAAAGCTAAATCACGAAAGTCACTTTCTGTCACAGAGTATCAAATACTTGAGTAAAAAAAATCTTACGTTACGGAAGTTTTTTCCCGGTTAGGGTACCCCTCCGCATCGTCCCATAAAGAGCTTCGTTCCAAAAGTTAAGGAAAAATAATGTGACTTAGAACATAAGCCTCACCGTGTTTAGTAGAAAAAATACCGTGAAAAAAAGGCTTACTACATGATCGGTACATAGTAAGGATCACAGCTTTACCATGTTCTGTTAACGCGTAGTACCACCCATAGCTCGCCGCGTGCGTCTTCATAAAGATAATGCCGGGCTCGGGCACCCCGGTTCCATTACACCGGCCACAATGCTCAATTAATAACTTCACTGATACTCCGGGCTAACACACAGTGAGATTTATAATCGAAATAAAATATTTATTTTAAATATTCGTTTTATATTTGTACTGTGATTTTTTTATTTATTTACGTCGTAGTGATGAAAAGGACTGTAGGTTTAATGTCGAAATGTGGACCTTTTTTGATATATCATTGTTTGCTATAAAATTGGAAATAATTTTCGGGGTCAAACATAAAAATAACCAAAAACATGTTCAAATTTCAGTCAATTTTCACGAATTCATTCAATATTAATAATAATTTCATTCAATGCGATTGCATGCAGCAGAGATGCGAATGTTGCGATGGATGTGTAGAATAACGAGAATGGATAGATTACGGAATGAATATGTTAGAAGAAGTCTGAAAGTGGCACCTAGTGACAGAGAACCTGAGAAGTGCGCGTTTGGGATGGTATGGACATGTGATGAGACGAAAAAAATGAGGTTGGTAAGAGAATGTTAAGGAAGGATATAGAGGAAGAGGTAAACCTAAGAAGAAATGGATGAAGTAAAGGCGATATGGGTAAGAGGGAAATGAGCGAAGAAATGGTATATGATAGAAGAGTATGGAAGGAGAAAACATGTTGCGCCGACCCCAGGTGACTGAGAGAAGGGGAGGATAATGATGAATAATTTCATTCAATATTCGAAATTTCATTCAAATTTCTACGAACTATAGACGAATTAAAATTTCTGAATACATATTGCTTGTGTGCAAACAATGTAATTTACGTAAAGTCGCTTAGCGTTCAAGAAGAGATGTATGTATGTACATCGAAATTCGACAGGCAGAATAAAATGGAAAAACATACAACTAATTGTTGATGCCAATATATTAAATGTGGAAAAGTCAAACTTAGCCATATCCAATGTACCTACAGAAAATCAAAAGTCTGAATCTTTTTAGAGAGTATTTAGCTTTTATTATCTTTTGTATTTAGAGAAAGATTATTTAGAATCTACTACCACTAGTCGACACCCCTGGTCAACGTTGATACCATATTGCGTTAACGGCCAGTTGAGGGCTTTCATTGTTCAATAACATCGGATAAACTGTAAACAGTTCAATTTTCCCGCAGATCAGGTATTACTAGTCCGTTTTTTGCTTATATTTTAATAACGAGCTTCACATTTCAGATACGCATGCTTACATTGTCCATAACAAGTGTTCAATGATGGTTTTAGATTATTTTAAATTAGAGGGGTTTATTTAGGCCTAGAGCGGTTGAAGATACTACGCTCAGCTTAGTTTGGCTCAGTTGCCCATTAATATTTACAATTTCAAATGCATAACTTCCGCCTACTGTGTCTGCTTTTATATACAACTAGCTTTTGCCCACGACTACGTCCACGTGGAATAGTTACTTTGGCATAACGCTAAATTTTACGCTAAAATATTTTTGCATTATAGAATGATAAGGAGCTATTTAAGCCCCTATTTTGAAACATTATTTATTGGTGCTCCATTTGTATTGGCCTTACCGTGATGTTATATAGCCTATAGCCTTCCTCGATAAATGGATTATCTAACGCTGAAAGAATTTTTCAAATCGGATCGGTAGTTCCTGATATTAGCGCGTTCAAACTAAACTCTTCAGCTTTATAATATTAGTATAGATTTATTTATTTATTTCCCATGTAGGCAGTGGAGCATACAGTCTACCTGATGATGAGTGGTTACCGTCGTCCGTGGACGTCAGCAATACCAGAGGCAAGGCCAAGCCGCTGCCTACTGCTGATGATATTTCATGGAATTAAATAGAAAAGACTTTTGAGAAAACAGTACGGATGAATTAAGTGATTGTAGAAAATAATCCTACTCCAGCTTTGTGTGATAAAAGTGATTTTAGTATCATCTCAGACGTCACATGCTACGTAATTAGAAAAAAATCCCAAAATAACCCATAAATGATATTAATTTAAATGTTAATATATTACTACGCTACCAATTTTACTCTGAATGGTGCCATTTGACTACACTTAAATTTTTATGTTTGTTTTTCAATAAATAGTAAGAGACTTTTAAAAAATATATATTTTTGGTACACACGTGCCGGTTGAAGTGGTCGTATGAGTAGTAAATAAATTAGATAACATTTTCTAAGTATTTACATAAATAATTCCAAGAATGTGTAGCGGCATACATCGATTGTATTATACCGTGTCCCGGGTACAGTTAAGTTCAGAATTAAAAATATTTTTTACTGCTTTGAGATTGAACACGGCTTGTGATACTTTATCAACGAATACTAACTTTGTAAAACAATCTGTACTACAGATTCTTTGCCTTATCGCCGAAGGTAAGCCTTACTAAGCCGAAGGCCAAGCACACAGAAATCTTCTAAATAAAATGGACATCGTTGTCATAACTGAACTCAAGAATATGATAAAATTTGCAGTAAATTACGCAAAACTAAAAACGCATAAGCGTAAAGATCATCAACCTACATGATGTAATAAAATAAAGTTTTTCTTCTGTAAACTGAATAGTCAACAAACAAACACATCGGTTTAATTGATAGGGGCGGCATTATAAAGTTTTGAACAAATGATTAAAACTTTTTTCCGTGATTGTACTAAATGCCAAACACGTACCTCCTGTCAAATCGGTAGGCTCAAACAGTGCGTTGTTTGCTTGTGAACTCTAGACGGTCACTGTGAGATTTTGGGGACATAATTCAACAATAAATAAATACCGTATTGATATTTAGGCTATCCTTTTCATCTTTTTCTATATTTAATGATCTATAATTTTCTAAAGCCAAACGAGCTTATAAACCACATTCGCAATACCAAGAGCACAGTTAACCCTTATAATTAGTTACAGCTGCTTTCTTTTAAGCATCGTATGAAGAAGAAGATGTCTAAGAAAATACTATAAAAGGAAGTTCATTCTAGGGCCAGGTGGTGCAGATGACAAAATTGATTTCTGCGATTGCCACAAATATGAATGTCTTGGATCCAAGTAACAGGAATGTCGGTCACCGTCCTCGACGAACCCGTCGCTTACGATGAAAGGCTCGACGAGTAAATTAACCCATAGACCGAGACTAACCCACTGAGTTTCTCGCCGGACCTTCTCAGTGGGTTGCGTTTCCGATCCGGTGGTAGATTCTGCGAAGCACTGCTCTTGCTAGGGCCAGTGTTAGCAACACTCCGGTTTGAGCCCCGTGAGCTAACCTACTAATTCGGTGAATCTAGAATAACCCGTCGAGGTTACTAAAATAAGTAGGGAAAAAAAATCAGGAATCAACTATTCCACGGGAATGTTATGCGTGATGGTCCAAATATGATGACGGGTCATCTCAAGCAATTCTTCAGACGCTACCCGTGCCATATACTGTATAAAAGATATGGGCGAAAGCCTCTCTTTTGACTCAAACATTCCATTTCAATATAAAAGTTCTGCTTTACGAATGACCATGGACGGGGTAGAATTTACTGGTGGTAGGACGCCCTGTGAGTCCGTACGGGTAGGTACTATGACTCTGTCTATTTCTGTCGTGAAGTAGTAATGCGTTTCGGTTTGAAGAGTGGGACAGCCGTTGTACTGTAAGAACTGAGACTTAGAACTCATGTCTCAAGGTGGGTGGAGGCGTTGTAAATGTCTATGGGCTCCGGTAACCACTTAACACGGGGTGGGCCGTGAGCTGGTCCATCCATCGAAGCTATAAAAAAAAGAGCATTATAGTAATTACCACGTATTGTAGAAACGTAAGCACATAACAAACGAATTGAGTAGCTAATATACTCAGAACTGTAGGTAAAAAGCGGATGTGTATAGCCCAAAATTGTGAGAGATAGAACCTATAGAAGGAACTCGTTGGAAAATTATGAATTTAAAATTTCGATTTCCCGTCTAAAGGGTACGCCAAGAAGTAATCCCTCTGACTCCTCAAAATTTGCTTCCGTAATTTGTATATTTGTTAGAAAATATCCAACCAAAAAAAAATAATTCAATAACTGATGAAATTCATTTTTTATTAGAAACTTAGTCTAGCATCATATAATTAATTAGTGTAAAGTTAACTTAAATTCAATCGATCCTTTCTGAGGCAGCCGCTTCATATTTGCAAACATCCATTTTCACGTGACGATATTCTGAAAGATGTATATATATTTTTTAAATCAGATCTTAACGACCTGTATTATGGTGTATGGTTCTGTATTATGGTTAGTAGAAATAAACACTTGTTTAACAACAACAATTGCATCCAAATGTCGATTATCGAAAATGTTTTATTAATTTGACTTTCACAAAGATAGAGATATTGGTTGGATTCCAGCCTTAACTTATAAAACTACTCAAAATTTACCATAAAATCTTTTTTGTTTTTATACTTTTGTATTTTATTTGTAGGCAGTTGGGCACAAGGCCCACAAGATGGTGAATGGTTACCGTCGCTCGTGGGACCCAACAATAACAGGGACAGAGCCAAACCGCTGCTTATCGCTAAAGATCTAAACGTTTCGGTCTCAATACCAAACTTTACAATATCAATTATCAATATCATTACAATATCAAACTTTACTAACGCTTCTTCTCGTCACAATTGTACTCGTAAAGATCGCAGTTATCATTAAACATTCTTGAAATACCGAGAGAGTCCTGCCCGCATACCGGAACGAAGTCGTGTTGACACTGATCAGCTATTTTACAGAAATTGATTACCTGAAAACATAATGAAAATCGAAATAAATATCGTAGATTGCAAAAGGGACCTCGACCACGAAACAAAATTCATAAACGTTTGTTCCACCATAACAAACGGAAACTCAAAAAGTTACAAAACATTGAAATCTGGCTCACTAAAATAGATGATTCTTACCGGTTCTAAAGGAAAAAAATAATCTTCTGCTTCTATTTCTACATGGCACCAAACTTCTGCGGCTAATCCTGTGATTATCAAACCTAAAAACAGAATTTATTCAGAAAATATTATTTTAGTACAATGCTGCTTCGAAGGCATGTGCTAGGTTAGGAAATGGCTTTCAATCGTGGTGTGTCTTATATATTCCACTAGCTTCATTTGCCCCATTGTGTCATTAGTTCGTCTAAGGAAATAAGAAAAACTATTTATCTATTCACACATTATCAATTGTCTTGACTAGGTAATTCAACAGCCCCAGAGGTGATTTCAATAGAAGTTTTGGAAGTGGAAGGAGTTAAATTCCATTTTGGTGGATGGATTTTTGGAAACTTCATCTCTGAAGGAGTAAAATAAAATACAATGGGACTATGGAAGTTTTCTAGAAACACGTATATACAAATACTTTAGCTTATTTCAGAGTTTACACACCTAAGAGAGAGTGAATAAGGGATTGAAATTATGTGCAGATTGGAAATATTTTTAAACATTTGTTTGTCCTCTATGGCTTTCTAAGCCGTTCAAAGAAATGTGAAGAAACTTGATATACTTGTGGTTGGTACTCCGGAAAACGTTTATTCTCATTACCATGAACGTACGAAAAAGTTGGGATTGAACAGTTTCAGGAAATTTACATTCTTCAAACAATTAACAATATTCTTAGCGGTATATGATTGGATTTCGCTAGGACTTCGGAATCAGTCATATAAAAAATTGTATTAACAAGTCCCGTCCAACTTCCAATAGCAATAAGTCTTTTTTCTTCATCTGCTGTTACAATATTGTTCGAGTTCACAGTAAACCCTATCACTAGTCCCCAATATATTTTGGTTGTAGTTTTCTTTATGGTTTTCTTTATTACTTCTTTCTTTTAATTGAATAATATATTTTATTTCATGAAAATCCACTGCATTGCTTATATCTGCCGCAAAGTATTCATTTATGCCGGTTTTAAGCGCAGAACAGCCGTCATATAATACCACAAAATACATGTGAACTAAATCGGACGCTGCAATATATCATCACACTACTGGACACAGCCCTTCCCCCAAGGTTTGCGATACTGATCAATCGAAACGCATAGGAAAAAAACAAAATAAAGTTTTAATTTACACAAATTAGGGTAGAAAGTTCAACAGCAATAACTCACTTGTTAATAATTTTCTGAAGTACATAATGAAAACACGACCGAGGGTAGTAAGGCATAACACTGATCTAGTTTGGTGGCTTAGTGTATGTTTACATAGACGAATGAAAACATTTGATGTTACAGCGGATGTTGGGTTATAACAAACATGTCATGTTGAAAATATCTGTCTAGTTATTGAAACTTAGACAGGAGCTCTTAACTTTTGTCTACGCCATATTATAAAATTAAAACTTAACTGCCAGAATCTTGACACACTGGGATCTATAACTGTGATTTTTATATCAAAAATAAAAGCATATTAAAAAAGAGAGCATATACAACGTTCCCGTGGTCAGAATTTTCCTAACTTACAAAAATAGAAAAGGTCCTGCAATATCATGTGCTATTAGCCAACGAGATGAGTGATTACATCGAATATTAAGTTGATGCTAAAGACCACCATAATCATAATCACAGCAGCTGATATATGTCTAATTCTGAACATAGACCTCGCCCAATTTTTTTACTCCGCATCCATTGTAACACCGTAACCAATAACTGCTACAACACTGTATAGCTGAAAACCAACAATCGCTTACTATAAATAAATATAAAAAATCAACACAAATGTGTGTGCATCTATGTTTCTATTATTTAAAAACAAATAAAATTAGAAGAAAACAACGGTTGAGCTTCCCTGTCAATTATTAAACTAGCCTCAGAACAATTAATTTTGAACAACAGATAACAATATGAAATCGTTGAACAATATAACTAGAGTAATTCATATTAGAACGAAATGTGGGTTACACTACTCATTTACTGTGAGTTGTTCATATAATTGTTTCGATACACGGTGTAAGGAAATCACTACCGAAATCGAAAAACCAATCTTCTATTACCTTATATAAACGAAAAATCATATTCAATTATTGAGCTAGGAAAACTATGATATTTCTATAATACATTAAAGGATAATAAAATTAATGTTTTGGTTGAAAAGTCATCATCATTGTCATCATTATTTGCTCTGTGTCACCCGGTTTTAGCTTGAACTAAGCGTCCAATGTTTAAGGTTAACCCATCACATTGAATAACAACCAGCTAAATCCAAAAATTAACAGACAATTAAACAAATTGACCACGTTAACATAAATAAAGATATCGCATCGCACAGAAAAATTAACTAATTTTATATTTATCTATATGGGGGACTGAACTTAGAGCGAAGAGTGTGTTAAGCGGTAATTGAACCCAAAAACCTTACAACGTTAATACCGCCACACCTTCAGAGAAGAGGTCGGTGCTTAAACTTTAAAGTATTACGACTCTTTCACCCTTCAAACCGGAATGTATTAATGCTACGCGGTAGGAATATACCTACAGAATGGTAGTGCCTTTCCGTGGTGCTAAAGCACTTATGATACAAACCACTAAAACAATTTCATAATTTATTTCAGATACCATTACACTGTGTTTTGGATCAATTACTTGTCATTTACCACAGTATGCGTCGACACCGTCTGTAAGTATAATTTTCATATTTTTTGTAGATACAGATTTGCTGTTTATTTCGACATCAAATAATATAGTTTACTCCCTGTTTATCGATTCGATGAATTTCACATGTTTCAAATATATCTAATTATGTACATTTTGAATAATGTACTTACTACACCATCGCGAATGACCTGTCGCATTCTGCTGCAAAAGTTTCCTTTTGATGGGTTATTATCATTCAATTAAGACTTGGGTTGCATATCTCAAAGTTGTTATTGATATTCCAATTGTGATATCTCACCCGGTGAGTACTGAATATCAAAGGGTCTTTCACCCATTTTACCAAAGTTATTTTAAGACGAAAACAAGGTACTATATCATTCATTGGATTATAATGACAATTAGTTGTTGATGTCCTTAAAAACGCAATCTGTCATCGTGTAATCAGCATTTAGGTATAGTCACAGCGGGACATGGCCAAGAATAAAAGAACGCGTTGTTGATTTGAAACTGATTGAGTTGTGGACTTCAATTACTTTATTTCCTAGAGATCCTTTATCTATTCTAGAACAAGCCGCAAAAATCGAAATTTAGTTTGATTGCAGGAGCCATCTTCTTAAACAATACCAATGATTTGTATATAATTTAGTGTTGTTTTTCAAACTTCTAACTATCAGTCTCTTGCTTAATTGCACATCTGAAACATTTATTTTACATTTTCCATATTTCCCAATCTTTATATATATATATATTTCTAATGTGCGTGTGTTTGTCATTGAACTCGTCCTAAATGGCTGGACCGATTTTAATGAAATTTTCTATATACCTTCAGGTGGATTCGAGAATGGTTCAGATTTACAAATTATTATCGGTATCGGTATCTAAGCTATTTACCTTTCCTAGAAATAATTTATATGGCAAAACAACGTTTGCCGGGCCATCTAGTATTTTATACTATAAATACGTAAAGTACTGTATACGGAATTGAAAAAATATATTTAAAAAAAAAGATTTTATTGACGAAATGAATACATAGAGATTTCACGACGATTAATGACGGCAACCGTGCCGTGTGGAATTAGGAATAGGACTGACTGGATAGGGAGGGGATTGTTCTCTAATAAAGGATCATAACTGCTGATGCTCTTCGGGAAAGGTGATGATGAAAGCAAAGCCAGGAACCAGAGGGTATCATAACAGTACGTTTTATAGTTTAAATACAAACGTAAATCGAAAAGTAATGAAAACATTAATAAGCTGTAAAAGTTTTCGAACGTGAAAATAATCAGTTTGAACCAGATATTGCAAAACTGATAAAAGAAATGCATAGTTACACGACGTACATTTAGGTAATAAAATATAATACGTTCGCGACCGAAAAAAAATCTTGACTCAATTGGATTTTTTTTTTTTTTTTCAGAACAAAATAGATCAGTTCTGTGTATTAGCAGAGTCTTGTATTCACGACACAATAGCGGTTTGCGGCAGAATGGGCGAAGAAAAACGAACCTTTTTGGATCTCTGTGATATGTTGGAGTATGCTTGCGATTCCAATCAAAGTAATTCATATGATTCAATCACTAAAAATCGCTATATGGAAGCGAGATTCAGTATTAAGTATTTCAGTACATTCAGATTCAGTACATTAAAGTCAAAATACATCTTTGCAGTAGAAATAGCCTGTCGGAAGTGTCGGATCGTGCTCATTTGATAAAATGTTAATAATAACAATAGTTAATTCATTTATACGAACCGAGGGAAAAAAAATGCAGTAACGCACAGATAATAAGTTTTAATTACAAATGGTGATTAGAATTCTTGTGGGCGTCACGCTGCCTATTTATACTGCGAAGCAATAATGCGTTCCAGTTTGAAGAGCTTAGCTTTTTTTACTGGTGGTAGGACCTTTTGTGAGTCCGCGCTAGTAGGTACCACCGCCCTGCCTATTTCTGCCGTGAAGCAGTAATGCGTTTCGGTTTGAAGGGTAGGGCAGCCGTTGTTACTAAATGAGACCTTATAACTCATATCTCAAGGTGGGTGGCCATTTACGTTGTAGATGTCTATGGGATCCAGTAACCACTTAACACCAGGTGAGCTGTGTGCTCGTCCACCCTTCTAAGCAATAAAAAAAAAGAGCTGGCCAGCTGTTGTACTGTAGAATTGAGACTTCGAACTCATGACTCAAGGTTGTTGACGATATTTATATTGTTGATGTCTATGGACGCTCGGTAATCACTTAATACCACACCGTGTGGGCCATGAGCTAGTTAACTGCGTGAGCAATAACAAAAATTATAGGCACATAGGAAAAAATCCAACAATACAATTAATTAGTTTAATGAAAGAAAAACAGTTTTTTCAGAATAGCTAGTCGTCTGTTTGTATTAAATAATTTATTTATTTTACAGTTTACACTCACATAGACGACACGCCCGAATGTCCAGCTATAAAAAATCCTAACTAAAAATAAACAATATAAATTATAGCACTTATATTTGGTCCATAAACAACGCTGTAACGAGCAAGCAATCTCTCCATGTATCACAAGCCGAGCGAAACTCAGACGCGAAACTCTTTGCAAAAAAAGGATCTTAACTTAAATATGTGTTTAAGTATCATTACGGTAATGCGCTTAGCCTGACCCGAGATCTTGAGAGGGAGATGGTGTTATTTGTGAAGGAACACGCAAGAAAAAGACGGACAACGCTCGAAGGTTGACCGGGTAACAGGTTGAAGCAGACAGAATAAGTATAGCAAAGTAAGTTAGCCCGTGAACGAGACGCATCTTGAGCTGGTTTCACTGATGTTCTAAACTTTAATTAAAATATATTTAGTTTTATTATAAGACACTTGTTTTCTTTCCTCTATTTTATTCGGCAGAATTTGCAAACTTTGATATTTTCAAACGTAGTTCAATCTAAGCTTTCCTGTTTTCCTAGCAGCGTTATTTTTTTATTAAATTACTAAGCGCTGGTTAAAATAAAATTAACCAGAGCACAGTACAACACAGCCAACAGCGCCGTGAGAAAGCTACAATTTGAACAAGCCATAATTAGCGAGCGCAGTATTAAATCACGATCGGCCTGCCCTGGGTCGATCAGACCCTCGGATCAACTATAACAGGTGGAACCGCTGGGTCAAGGACTCGGAATTGCTTGAAAAATGCGGTCTTGTATCAAGAATCAAGTTATTAGCCACTTTTATTCCTGTATGGTTTTGTAAAAATGAAAGTTATTTTGACATAATACAAAATTAATATCACCCTTGAACATACGATTTAAAATGAACGAAATAATAAAATATACAGAATGCCGTCTATACAAGATAGCCCAAGTGGTTAACATTAGATTTACTAATTCAATATGGTATCAATTTATAACAAATATTTTTTACCTCGTAGAAAATTATACATTTTTCAAATTTATTTATTTTAAATACATAGGTATGTCGAAAATGTTTGGAAACATGGAATGCCAATTATCCAACAATTATTATTATGAAACAAACGACATATTTTTGTCATAATTGGTGCAACACAATGGGGAT